CATCTGCGCTCCCTGCCAAGAACAGGAAAAGCAAATATGCACATAAAAATCCTTGGTGTGTCTAGCATCATTTCACTATGATATTTGTATATTAAGCTGTCTAGCCAGAAAGATACATGGCATCCATGCAGACACTACGGTTGACAAGATGGCCGCAAGATGTACAGAAATGACTCCTCACTCTCAGCACAGTTTTAAAACTTGCCTTTGTACCAAGCTGATGTTCGAAAATACATTTGCTCCATGTGTGAAAATGAATATTCCAGGAAAATAAAATGCCATAGCTCATTGGTTTTGTGGAGGTTGGCAAGAATTTATATGAACTGGCAACAAATATTAACTGAATGGTATATATAAGCTGAATCATACAACAAAACTTATAGTTTCCTAGAGTAATGTGGGCAACAGAAAAGAGTGTGTTAGACTGAGATTCGCCCACTGGTCAATTCTAACACTGGCTATATCATCCCACTGTGATGCATACTTCCAGCATCTATCATGACTTCTCTTTTTTCACATGCACCCTAAAATAACTAACTGATTCGCCAAGTATGTGTACCAGGTATAAGATGCATATGTTTTCATGGTGCCGGAGTGCGTTCTCTATCTGTGTATGTTTCTCACTCTTTCTGAGGGTCCTATTTAAAGCCAGACTGGCATATGCTATCTGCTCTCCATTGAACACCATGGCCTGCATTTTAGGAGTGATTTATAAAATTCAAACTGTGGTGAGCAGCCGGAGGCGTCCCACGGAGCTCTCTCTACTCAACACTGCAGAGAGATCATCATGATTAGAGGGGAAGCCAATCACATGGCATAGGTCATGTGACAAGGCTTGTCCTTGTCTTGGAATTCTTTTTCATGCACTGTTATAAATGGCACATAATTCACATTTGTAAAACATATGGCAATGCTCTATACAGGAGGTAGGTAAATGCCAGTCCTCCAGCTGTGGTGAAACTACTAATCCCAACATGCATCTGCCTCTGGGAGTCATGCAATGCCTAATGGGATTTAACATTGCACCACATCACATCTGGGTGTTATCTAGGGCAGTTTGCATGCAAATGCACTCTGCCTAGAAATGCCTACCCCTGCACATGGACATCTACCCATCAAGGTATTTTCATATTTACAGTACTCCTCCCATAAGCTAGCCCTGCGCTTGCAAAAGAGCTGAGGGCTTTTGAGAGGAGTACCGAGGTGGGGTGCTGTGATGTTTTAAGTAGGCTTGTATGTACAGCACACTGCCAGCCCCTCTCACCAGCCATGATCTGCCTGTATTGTATAGAGAAGCACAGAAACCTTGTAATGATGTCACTGGGTCTATAATAAGGCGTCCAATTACAATGGAAAGGTTTTATTGATAAATGTCATTAGCATGTTAAAAAGGGGCAGAGGAGGAACCAGGGAGGGCAAAACATAAGCATATTTTTATTGCTTTAACAAACCATAAGGGTCACGTCTTATGCCCATAATTAGGGTTACAAGAAACCCCCCTAATAAAATAATCCTCTGGCAAGTTTTTCTTTTGTTTATATAGTAAAACATGTTAACTATCCTGTTTTTATTTTTTTTTAGGGAAGGAGCAACTCCACTGGATAACATAAGCTGAATTGTAAATCTGTAGCCAGTGGAAGAATCACCCCATGTACCTTATAATGGCTCCTATATGTTGCTAGTCTCTCTTTCTTGACTATCACCATCTAAAAACATACACAAAGTTTACAAAATATCAAAACTCAGGTACATGTGTGCCGTTTTCTTGGGGTATCAGATCTGGAAGTTCTACGTAGGAGTTTAGAATTGTAAACCCAGGAGTTGCATCAACGCGTGAACTACTGAACCTGTCCAATTTAGCCTTCACTCAACAGCAATAATACTGCCTATACACAAATAAGTCTTAGCCATACAAGCGCACTGTCCTTTCATCCCCAGTATTTAAAAACAAGAAACACAAAGTTTGGATACAGTAGATGTGTGGTCCTCAACTGCTGGATGGCCTGAAGCACGCTAATGGTCTGTCCTTGCAGATAATGAAACACAATGGTCATGTGGCAACTCTAATAATCACACATTTAAAAGAAGACTTAAAAGGAGAACTACCGTGTTTCCCCGAAAATAAGACACTGTCTTATATTTTTTTTACCCCCAAAAAAACACACTAGGTCTTATTTTCAGGGGATATCTTTTTTTTTTGGTATGGTAAGAATGAGAACAATACTGTTGCTCTTTCTTTTCCTACTGGTCAGTATCGGTAATGCTGATCCCTTTCTTTCACTTTCACAGGCGGAGTGCATCTGGTATCACTCCGCCTGTCACAGTAACTAGCGATTTAGAGGAATGATCTGCTAATGTGTCTCTGCTCCCTCTACCACTCTGGAGGGAGCCCCCTGTCATCCCTTTAATACAGTATGTCCCTGCAGACTAATACCATCTCACCTGCTCTTCAAGTTACCCCTCACATGCTACCACCAAACTAGGTCTTATTTTCGGGGTAGGTCATAAGCCCTGACCCCATAGTTCTCCTTTAAAGGAAAACTGCATTTGTGCAAAAACATTACTGTAAATTTAACAGAAAAGATATTACAATCTCTAACAATAATTTCTGAAACTCCCAGTTTCTGAAGTGTATTGCCTGTTGATATGAAAAATACCCCATCTCCTATACCAAACAGAGTAATTTGTTGTGTATGGCCACCCTGCTTTATAATCACCAGAAGACATGCTGTGTCTTTGCTTGCCCCACCACTGACAGATGGAACATGCTGAAGAGAATTGGTTCTTAATGTGTAAGAGGAATGTAAATACAGTGTTTTTCCCCAGAGAAATTTGTTAAGTATCCTTGGGGTTTTATTATGTGGTCAGTTTAGCCGAGTTCTATAAATAACCAGTAACCCTGCTGTAATGAAACCATTTCTGGTAACTCTGTTCCTGCAGTCTAATGATTTATTACAAACTCCTATGCGCGTCATAAATCAGCCATTTTACAATGTAAAAGGTTTTATAATGTAAAACAAATCCAAATATACACACGTCAAAAGGTGCAATGCCATCTTGAAATGCTCTTGGCAAATCTTTGGGCCCCCAGAACACATCTGGGCTCTACGTTGTTTCTATACTTTGACTGTTAACACAGACACCATAACATATTTTAGAGCAATGTTATTATTGTATTAAATGTATTGTGCAAATGCCTTTTAAATGATCCAGTTAGAATTGATGTTCTTATTTTTTTTCCCATGACACCCAATATACCATTGAGCTCAGGTAAAAAAACATGGAGGAAACTAAAAATGGAAGTCGGGTTGTCCATAGCAACCAATCAGATCCCAGCTTTCATTATCTAACCTGCACTCGAAACGGATACTTGACATTGACAGGTTGTGACACACCTCCATTTCCATCCTTTGTACTCTGGTCTACAACAATTTTGAACCATAATTGTTTTTTAAGCTAACCGCAGATGAGAAAAAAAAAGCTGCAGACGTAGGAATAGAATGTGCAAAATACATTAACCACCACTTACACATTTGTCATGTTAGAATGCCCAGCCCATGTTTCTGTAGTAAGCATCGCATACAAATTAATCCAATTATAGTGGAGGCATTCAGTTGTACATACAGCATTCAATGATAGATGATGTGAATGAGCTAATTGCTACTGTACATCCATGCCATCAGAAATTGTAATGCAAATGTAATGAAAACATACCCTGCAGCGGTCTAAAAGAAGCCTGCCTCCTATAACCCCTTAGAGATTCCACACCACATTAACAGGCTCACCTTGCTGTGACAACCGCACCACCAGCCAAACAATATATAGTAAAACAAATCTGCCGTGAGGGCCATCTCCCATCGGAGAGCCACTGATGCAATTCATTTTCTTTAAACAAGAATGCAAAAGGCCAGCAAAGAAAAAGGCAATCTATCTACACTGTGCATGATTTCTACGTAGGCGACAGACAGATGGAGAGGTAGAGACAGATAGACAGAACTGGATCAGAAAATGAACCAGTGTCCTGGAATGACCAATCTGTTTTCATGTAAGGCTATCATGCAATCGACATTGTTATGATAAATTGAAAGGTCCACTGTAAGAAGGGGTTAAGTAAAGCCATGACCCTGTGACCTCTACAATCAGTGTTCCCACCAATGGAGAAGCTAGACCTTTACAAAGCCCTATCAATCTGGTGCTTTAACATTGCAGGCTGCAGCTTAGCTCAGAAAGGATTCTCATGTTTTCTCTGAGCATCTGAGCAGGAACAAGCTGTCTCTGTTTCTGATGGCTTTCATTTCCTTCCGTTTTTCAAATGACTAAATCAAGCAAAATGGAAAAAAAAAATGGCTCCACGCTGCCAGTAAGCGTAGTACTCATCAAGTGTCAAAAAATAAATAAAACAACAACAGCCAGCATGGCTTTTTTAAATCAACATGAATAAATCACACAAAGTTAAGATTATCCGTGAGAATTAATCCGGGGTTTATTTGTATAAAACACATCTGTCTATATGCATACAATGACCCATTTAAGAGCATGCAGGTTGGAGAATCTGTGATTCAAAGCATCGCAGTGACCTCAAAAATGGCTTCTCTGCAATGTTATATAATTGTCAGTGCACATGAATGTTGCAAGGTGCAAATCACAGCTGCTGAGATCCACGCTTACACCTTTCTTCTTACAGTAAGCAGACAGCGCTTGTTTTCCAATTACATAACATTTCAGTAACATGAAGGTACCCACATCTAGAACACGCCTGATGAGATGTAAACCCTGCTGCACGGTGCATGGTGTGGAAAGGGGAAATCGCTTACTGCTGCAAGGACACAAGTTCTTTGCCACACATCGCATACAACATAAAGTGGATGTATAAAGAAAGGCATGTCTCAAGGGTGTAAAAAAAATGCAGAAAAAACACATTGGTGTCCAGCAATAACAATCCCCCCCGGCCTTGCCTCCCTTCCATACAATACACATCACCCCCCCCACCCCATTATTACCTGTAGGAACGCTCCCCGCGTACAGTGTGCTTCCTAAACGGAATGATGCTCCCGTTATCATGCATGATGTCGTTGTTGTTTTCTCCATTTGGGGACAGCGTTTGGGTTGGACCCGGCATTGATGCTGTCCCAGGAAAGAGGGAAGAATGATGCAATAAATCAAGGAGGAAAAATGCAATGCTGATGAAGCTTCTATGTTATTTTCAGCCTTTGGTGTTGGCCAGTGAGTTACAGGAGGCACCGATCTTGCTGCTGCTGCTGCTGCTATGCCACGGATCGCTCTTACTCCCTCTCTCTCTCTGTCTACAGCTTGACGTCAAAACAGCCTGAAGCAGCATCCTGGTCACATGACTAGGTCCCTCGCCATGGCAACCAGCTAACTCATCAGATCCTTTCAATTCGTATACACAGAATACACACTTGCAGTGTTATAATACCAATATATCTAAAAACAATAATAACAGACACACTAGCAGAAGGCAAAGGGGAAGGCTAGAGGAAAAGGCTACATCTGGCATGCAAAAAGCACCAAGCTACTGATAACCAAGCCCCCCTTCCTCCCTCCTTTCCTCCCATCTCTTTACACACCCCTCCAGCTCTTCCTCCTCCTCCTCTCTCCCTGCTGCACCACTGAAGGAAAAAAAAAACCACGGCAGCTCAGCCTAGCCTACTGAACAGCTTTTCCTCTGTCCATTTCCTTTCAGCTCTTTGATATGCAGCTGTGCACACAAAGATCTATTCAGTACCAGGCAATGCTCGAGCAATGTGCAGCAGGGCTGGGACTGGCTTACATGCAGGGGAAAAATGGTAAAAAACAGACCACAAGAGCACCCTGAAAATGGATGTATTCTCAATTATATAATTGCACAGTCACCAATCAACATTGCATCCACTAAAGGCAACAAAGCTTCCTACAAAGGAAAAACACATTTACAGACTGTCTCAAAAAGAGAAACAAGCAGTGGAATATTATTACATCTAGACTCATCATTAATACAAGAGCAAAAATGATGCTGCATCTTCAGGGAATCCATTCAGCCCTTAGAGAATGGACATCTTGAATATTTAACATACCAGATAAAGCAGGAATTGAAAGAAGTTGTGTGTGCTGAAAATAAACGATAAACAAAATGTGAATAGTATTGCCCAAATAGCACTGTAATAATGACTTTGCATCAGTCACTGTGAATTTGTAGTAAACAGACAAAAAATATTATGTAAAATGCCAAAATAAAAGCAGGCAGTATTTGCATAATGGTGTGTGGTTTTGCCATCACATACTGTCACTGAGTGGTAAAGTATCTGTTAGTTGTTGTTTCACTACAAAACACTACAATAACAACTGAGGCAACAAGCAGGCAGACATCTATGCTAGAATAAGGGGCAAGAAATCATCGGCATGTCCTTGATTGAATTGCCTATGGCCGCAGGGCTTGTGAAGACACATGCCTGGCCAAGAGAAATTCATAATTCCTGGGGCTTTAGGCCAAATGTCTTGTGCTACCCTTTCATATCTCAGTCAGCTGGCAAGCCTTAGTGCCACACCAACAAGATCAGATATCATAGCTACACAAGGTATTCTGGGGCTGGGGGTGGATACTTTAGAAGTGGTCACTCTGGGTTAGTAGAACCAGGGACATCTCTTCAATGTTTGACACCCAAGACCTGGTGGGGGGTTATGCCAAGGGGCAGTTGCTGGTGTTGTACGTTCCTGGGAGGGTTCGGAGGATGGTGTTGGCGGCACGTTATGTGGGGGGATGGTGCCTCTGGCCAGTGTCCTGCCCAGCTCACTGATCACTGGTTGCCAGGGGCTCGGGACACTAGCCCCCACACACTAGCCTTGGGTGCTGTGGCCAGAAAGGGGGGTGGCAGGCACACCTGCTGCCCCCCATGTGACCCAGTGGGGATGCCCCTGAGTAAAACAGACAACTAGAAAAGTACAATAAACCGTATTCCTACTACCTAGGAGGTCATTCTAGGTGTACAGACCCAGGTTGGGTAAACTGTAAGTACACAGTACAAAATGCATTTGCAAGGACAGCAACAATGAGACAGACTGCACTGGTAGGTAGGGCAGCATTTTAGTAACTTTCACTATACACAGGAAGGAATTACTGACGGCCAGCAACATAACATATACAAAGCTTTGTGCTGCTCATGGCAGCCAAGCAAAAATTTAGCAGGGTGGTCAACAGTGACAGAGCCACACATATGGTACCTTGATCCTAACCTCTACTTCATAGGGGAAGAGAAGGTCAGACCCATTCCAAAGGAGATTTCCGACAAGATGGAAAATCTCCCTGTGTGCTCACACATACTGCTAGCTACCAAAGATGATAATTTCACTCTCTTCAGAAGGAGACTGATAATAACAAGCAATGTTCAAAATCAGGAGCTTCGAATGCAGTTACCAAGCTATATATGGCCACCCTTGCAAACACACTAGAAAAATTGATGCACTGACTAGCAACTTGCTTTCCTTGCTTGGGGATCTAGCAATAAACAATTTGCAGGACCATTCACCCTGTGAACATTTGTTCAATGTAATGTAACACAACATTGTGGCCACTAAAAGGCATAGAGGAGCAAAGAAGTACTTATTTTCTTTGCTCTTCAGCTCTATCTAGTGGCCATAATGCGGTATTAGATACATTCGACCTGAAAAGAAAATATGTTTGTTTTTGCCTCTATTCGCACTAAATGAACATTCACATGACTGGCTTTGCAAATTGTTTACAGAGTCTGGGCATGAAAGGTGGTCATATATAGCTCCATTAAAGCATGTGTTACAATCAGTACATCACTTCTGGGAATTGGGCATAATTATTTAAAATTATTGCACATAGATTTTTTTCAACAAATTGTAAAATTTCCATGCAAGCTGGAGTGATGGCCGTCAATAAGAAAAGGTAAAACAGTTTTCACATGTGTACAATGTCTCACGCGCATTCCAAAAAAGATCAATTTTTTTTTAAACCAAACGTGTAGCTCAGAAGAAACAACATGTCTCACCATTTAACATTTGTCTAGCTGTGGCCAGGCTTGAACATGGCTAAAAATGATTTAAAAGTAACAATTTCAATCATATTAAAGTGTTTGAAATAAAAATCGTTATTCTGACCTAACATATCAGTGAGGCCATATACAAAGTGATCTCTTAGTAACGAGAAAAGAGATTTACACAAACCGATAACATTTCTGTGTGTAATAAGAAATACTCATTCTGCTTGGAAACAATCAGTCCTTTGTAAAGTCCAACACTGCTTAATTGTCTCAAGTCATGCTGGAATTTGTAGACATTTATCAGGGTATTCATGGCCACATTTAAGGATAGTCATACATGGTTAGATTTCTCTTGTTCAGACCCTTCAGGCTGAACCCCCCATCCATGCTAAACAGCTACTGTATTCAGACAGTTACCCGCCGCGGCTGCTTGGAAACTCAAACAGTAACTGCTTCTAATAGGATGCAGTCACTGTTTAGACAAACATTTTTTTACCCGACTCCTTCAATTTTAAAAAACAACTTTTGTGGAGTTGGATGGTGCCGACAGAGCCAGCTCACAGCTTGAACTTTGGCTGATTCAGCAGGAATTGGCTGAAATTCAAGCAATGCATGGTAGGTATAAAGCAGGGATGTCCAAACTGCGGCCCTCCAGCTGTGGTGGAACTACGAAGCCCATGAGGCATTGCAAGATTCTCACAGCCACAGACATGACTCCCGGAGAGAGATGCTTTATGGGATTTGTAGTTTCACCACAGCTGGAGGGCCGGAGTTTGGACATCCCTGGTTTAAAGGATAATGGCATGTTAAAACAAAGTGTACTTGTCCTTTTGGGCTAATCTAATCGTTCCTACTCTCCCTCTGCACAGATGCATACTTACAGAGTTCTGTCAGGCCTGGACTCCACGATTTTTGTTGATATCCTGTGGCAAACGTCTCCTTCTCCTGCCCACTTTCGCACAGTACATCTCCATTGAATTCTATTGTCTCCTGGCAGGAAATGGAGGTAGAAGTTCCCCATAGACATCAATGGGGATGTACTGATCAGGCCCCTGGGAACTCGGTAGGCATTCAGTTGTGCAGGGGGAGTGAGGAACCAATTACGTAAATCGTAAGGATAAGTTCACATTGATTTGAAGTGAACGTATTCCTTAAGCTGGGCACAGACATAAATGACTGCTCAGATGGGCATGTACAATGTGCCAGTTTTGAGCAAATAAGAAATGAAAAAGGAGCCCGCACCTGGGAAAACAGGCAAAGTTTTCTAACCAATGAAAACATTCATTTGAAACTCTTGCTCAAAAAATGCAGCAAAAAAATCCTGTTTTGGAAAAAATCTTATGTCTATGTGCCTTTAAAGCTTTGGTTCTCAAAAGTGGGTCGCCACATACCTTCCACTATTCTAGGTGAGAGGCTCCTCTGCCTCCCCCTAGCGCAGCACTGTCAGTTCTCGCGCCAAGCAGCCATTCAAAATATGCTGCCCGGCGCGGAGTGTCAGCTTGAGGAGGGATAAGTTGGGGCTATGGTCGCGAGGGAGCTCCATCCATACGTGCATTGCTTATAGATCCCTCACGTGTCCTATAAAGGTGCCTGGACCGGAGTGACATCACATTCTGGCTCCCGGCACCTCTACAGGGCATGCAAGGGAGTTGTACAAGCAACGCACCTATGAATGGAGCTCCGTCACAGAACAGCAGCCCACACTGAAGCCCAGGCTGAGGAACCACTCCAGTTTTCGTAAGGTAGGGAGACTGGGTGGACCTTAATTATTATTTTTTTTACATTTTTTTGAGTGTGTATTTGTATCTGTGTGTGAGAATGTCTGTGAGTGTGAGAATGTGTATGTATTTCAGTGTTTTTGAGGGCCCGTTTACAATAGCATAGTGTGTTAATCGCAGAGTACCGTGTGATTAACGCACTGTACCACGCAATCACGCCTACCGTGCATTCTGGTGAGGGAGGTGTGTTGCGTTGCCATTCATTTGAATGAATGGCAATGGTGAATGCACCTCCAACCCACAGTTTGTACGCCAGCACCGGAACACGCGGTACCCTAATGTGGGGTGTTCCATTGCAGTGCAACTTGGGTCGCGACTTAATGACCAAGGACAAATGTGGGTCCTGAGGCTACACAGGTTGAGAGCCACTGCTTTAAAGAACAACCATCAGACAAAAATAAGCACTTAACCCTTGCAGTGCATGGGGTAGCCCCACTGCAGGGGTTAAGAAAATGTTTACTCGGAGTCCTGCTTTAATCTTGAGATGACAAATACCTAAGTCGTTTTTAGCCCTCATATGTGGGTGTCTCCTAAACTGAGCCACCCAACCATCGGCTGCAGAAGGGAACAGTCATTCTTAATAGGTTCCCCCTGCTCGGATAAGGTAGCACCAGCTACTGCTTACTACTCCTTCCCCATCCACTCTTCATGGAAATTTCTCAATAGCTT